TAATCTTGCTCGACGCGACTTCTGGCGTGGAGGACAGGAAGGCGGGGGGGGCAGCAGTTATTGCTTGGAGGGAGAGTCCCCCTCCCTACAGGAAGCCACAACCACGTGTCACGGGAAGGAAAATGGCTGCGGGTCCTGTTCGTCACCCGATCCAGCGTTCGCGAACGGCAGCAAAATTTTGCGAACGAAGCTGTTCGTGACCCAAATTGGTCGTGAACAGAAGCGTTCGTGACACGAGGTACCAATGTATGTATGTGTGTGTGTGTGTGTGTATATATATATCTCAACAAATTGACCAGGTAAATGGAATCCAGTTACACACATAATCATGGCTTGGATGGAATCAAAATGTGAATGAGAAACTGAAATCAGAATTTAGGATTAGAAAAATTAATGGGACTGTTAGTCATGATTAACTTATGTTGGTTTCAGTATACCTAATTCTAGATTCAGTGCATTATCTGTAGGTATGCTAGAATTGATAGGTTGTATTCAGAGTTGCACAGACTGCAGGACAACTGAATTTGCTAATTTCCCATTTCCCTCATAGTCTCCGACGTCCTTTGAAACCTGTTCCTGATTCTTAGTGATAAGGCTGCATGGAAAAAAATGTTCCCTCTCTCATTCATAAACCCATGGGTATATCCAATTTGCAAATAAGAATCTCTGCTGGACTAGAAATTCTTATTCTTACAATTCTGTGGAGTTAAATTTGTTGGCTACCCAAGATTAAAATTGTTAATTTTTTGTAGATATCTCATTTAACTAAATATACATTTCCTGCCTTATATTTTGACTTAGTAAGAGGATGTTGGATTTTACTCCTTTTTTGCCAACTATTTGCTTCAAATGAGTTCACTGCACAATTGTTTGTAGATCCAAACACAAAATCATCCAATTCCCATTTCCTTTTCCACCTTATTTTATACATCAATCTTTTCATTTATGGGAAAATAATTGTGTAAGATAAATTTATTTGCAAAAAGATAGTCAAGTAAAATTACCTAGGCAGAATCAACCCATGCTTTTATTTCCATTGCATATAAAAATTTCATATGAAGGTATCTGACATACAGTACTATTCCATAGGCTGTAAGAGAGGCTAAGAAACCATTGGATTATTTGCAATGTTCGCATACTTTGCCACTCTAAAGACATACCCAAAGGAAACAAAACCAACTGAAAACAACTAAAATATTGTTCAGGAATTCTGTTGTTATAGCGTCCCTTTTATATTGTGTAAAACAAAAGCAATTGTATTCCTTTGGGCCAGGGCTGCTAAAATCTACAGTTTGTGTCAAGGAGGCGGCTCTGTTTTTCTTGAAAAAGAATCTCTCCTTTTGCTGAGCAATCAGATGGGCTGGGCGTGGATGGAATGGAGATGAGGTATCTGAACTACAAAGCTTCATGTTCAAGAACAGCAGCAAGACACACTTCAGGCCGTTGTTGATTTTGCCTAAAACAAACGGTAGTGTTTAAATGATCTAGAAAGGCTACAGACATGCTTTATGCACTCATCTGCATGTTCATTTATACAGAATTAAGCTTTGGCTGCCTGCAAGCCTTAATGTTAGTACTGGAGGAAATAGGTCCTGTTTTACAGTGCAATATCAACACAGGTCTAATCTGGAGAGCCACTGTATCAAAGATAATGGGTATAATCTGCCTATATGAATTGTCTTGGCATGGGTAAAAAGTAACGTTCTTGTTTCAATGGGGCTCGAGAGCAGTAGCTGCCATTGATTAGTGCCCATTCTTGTTGATTAAGTGGTGGTGGCAATTTTTTCCTCTACTTTCTTTAAGAAAGGTGAAGAATCCCTCCATACATGCTTTGAAGGGGAATGTATTCCATTAGGCAGAGGGTATTTATCCACAAGGAGGTCAGAGTTTGGCAGGGGCATCCACAGGGGGTGTCAAAAATGTCAAGATGGCAATTTCAATGGCACAGTCTCTTGCCATTTTGACACTTTTTTACCCCCTTCTCCCCAACCCCCCAGCTTCAGTGGATCCTAGACAAACACCAGTGGAAAGAAGAACTTCCTTAATGGGACCCAACTGAAGTCCCTTAAAAAACAAAAAACAAAGGGTAGTAGAGATATGCCCAGCCCATGTTCAGCTACGACCTTTCTTCCAAATGCAGCAAAACAGAAGAAAATTTTGTTTAAAGTTAAGGCACAGCCCTGGGACCAAAGACCTGCAGCTTTTAATTTATATATCTATTTTATAATTTTTCTCAACTCTTCCATAAACAAGCTCTAAGGTGATATAGGATATATTACATGAGGGACAAAAATGTACAAGGGGAATATGTATACACAATATTAATTCTCTCACCAAGAGTTTCCAAATATAGCAACACCATCCTGGCAAAGATGATGTTATAATAAGAACTTATAATTTACAATTAACATTACATTATATACATTACAATAAATACATAGCTGTAAACAGAGACAAACAAGACTTATTACAAGTAAGGTCATTTGGTGAGAAAAATATGCATGGCACAAATAAAAAATAAATAAGCATTGTAAAATAATTAACGATGCTGTAAAATTCATTTCATTCTCAAGTTTTTTAAAAAGCTTTTGAATGTGATTTGTTCTACCTATATTATCTGATCACATTTTTTGAAACAATGACATGAAATCAGAAATCAAAAAGGAACAGACACAACATTACCAAGAACAGTAACTTGCAAGCTGAAGTATAAATGCAAACTCATATTCCTCTCACCTTTCCCCCATTCTCCCACCCTCCTTTTCAAAACAGTACCAATGCTTTGCATTTTACTTGTGGCAGAAACAGAGAGAACATGTAAAGTCACCTTTTAATATTTTTAAGCAAAATAAAAGAAAAAGAAAAAAGAAAAGATTGTACAGTGCATTCAATCCCTGGCTCTAAAATTATTATGCTTTCTATCATTTGATTGTCCATGTGTATGGGTGTATTTTTACACAATACAGTCTCCACGTTCTTTGAAAGTTTAATCTTACAGTGTGCACTCTAACAAGATCCAGCAAAGAATTAATACCTCCTTGAAATTAAGTATTTGGGAATTCTCATTAAAAACCAAAGGTATTTATGTATTTGAAGTTCAGTCTTTCTTCAAAACTTGCTGGCTCAAGGCAGAGGGTACTCCACTTTATAGATTAAACTGTTAGTGCAGAAAAAAATACCCTTCTATGTCCATTTAGATTTTTGGAATTTATATTGCTTTTTTTTTTCATTAAAATTCCAGGCACTCTTGGGGACTGTACAAATGTCAAAGTAGTGAAGAAGAGGCCATGAATTTATGCTAACAGCAATTTGATGAAATTCTTTCATTCATTTCCCTAGTTGGTATTTTTTAACAAAAGGCATCAAGAACTAAAGAAAGAGTCAACACATTAAAACATTTTTCAAAAATCCTCATTAGTCAGTGCTTGCCATAAGAACTTGATACACAAAACAACCCTTAATTCTAAATAAATGAAGATATAGTTCCATGGATTACAGTGAGGATAAAGCCTTATTAATTTAGGCTAGATCCAATCAAATTTCTATTTTCATTGTGACAAAACAAGGACTCATCATTCAAACCCAGTCCAACAAAGTTGTTTCAATACTGGGATTATAATAATCCTGTTGCAAAGCTTTTGCATATGGTGAGGAGCTGTGTTATGCACATATAGAGGATCTGTGTGGTCAAGGAAATGTACCATGTTGATAAAGCAGCATGAATATGTGCCTACCAATGCAGCCTGGCCAACAGAAAGGCAGCACAGGTCAGGTGAGGATGGCCCATTTCAATCCACGTGGACACCAATCTGCATTAATGTCTGCTACTGTGCATAGATTTTCTACATGTTATTATAGCTGAATACTATAGCCACAGCCAAATTTAAAATTAGATACTTAAATCCCTTTTTAATTAACAGCCATAATGGCATGTAATTCTACAATGGATGGCAGTCTACATTTTGTGCTGGAAATATTTTTTCTTGCAACCTTTCAGTTTTGTAGGATAGTGCACTTCCCACACAGCACAAACCCTTTCAAAAAGTTTTTGACGTAACAAACAATTCATTAGGAACAGTTTATACATATTCCTAACCTGTTCGCACAAATGTAATCTGAAGTACTGTGGTATAACAGCTGCCTGCACACCCCCAACCTAAGTATTTATTTGTTGGTCTAGCAAGTCATTGGGGGAGATGATTACAAAGCTGTTGTTCACTGCAAGAAACTGTCTCATGGAAAAGGGAATATTCAATTAGCAAATAAAACATTTGTATTTATAACAGGAAAGTCACAATTGTACTGGCCATAGATCTGGAAACCCCAGATCCCCATTTATTCATACTTACGACTATCCAATGGAGTTTAACTTATATTTCAGAGTGTTCTCATCTGCTCACTCTATTATCTGTCATTTGTTTCAACCCTCTGAATCCCAATGCATCTACTGTTCCTAATGGTCAGAATTCCTGCCACCCCTCAATTGTTGCAACCCAAATGTTGGGGAACTGCTACTCTAGTGTTCCACTAGATTTCAAAAATAAGTGTTTTGGCTGAGGAGAATTAGCCCACAACCATAAACCTTGGATCTGCAGGACTAAGCTATCTGTGAGGACAAAGAGCTCATAGCAGATAATATATTGCTGCTTTTGGACAAAGAAAAAAGCCCGAAAACAAATGTTTCCCTACAACAAGAGGCTGGGTAGGTAGGTGGGTGAGAGAGAATTAACAGAGCATTATATATGTATCATTGGTCTATAAAACAAAAGGATATTTTATAACAGTTGAAGGAATTGCTATGAAAATCTAAGTGCAAACAAATATAAAATTCAATTTATCCAGTGTAGCATATACATGTACTGAAAACTTGCAAGTTACTCTGTTTTGGGAAAGGAGAAGAGGGAGGAAGAAAAAGCCACTGGCAGATGAAATTCAGGGGTGTTGCATTCTTTTAAATATAATACCTCAACACATTTAATAATAAAAGTAAACTCTACAAAAAGATTTGTTTTACATATGATACAAAATGCAGACTTCAGTGCAACTGCTGAGCTACACTTTTTTTCAGTCATGTGTCAGGAAGACTTGAAATTAGAAAATTATGTGATTTCCACAGCTTCATCTTCCTCCTGGTAACAGATTCATGTTGCATCCCAATGTTTGAGTGCATTTATTTTCCACAAGAAACCTTGATTCATTTGCTGGTCACTTTCTTTAGATTCTGGTGTTGTATGTTATTAATTGCCTCCTCATGAAATTAAAACCTAATACAAAACACACATACAATCTCACACACACACTCACATTAGCTTTGGACCAGCCTTTACTCCTTTTGAAAAACAGCTTTGAGTACAATCAGTCTCTCATCACATCAGCCAAGCTGAACTCTTAATTGAACTGTTCTTTGCAGATGTTTTCCTTTGCTCTCTGGTGCCATGGAGATGAACAATTCTGGTTACACTAATCCTGAGTACCAAACTAAGTTTTTGATCAACAAACAACTCTGGCAGATGACAGTGAGGCATGATCATGGTTGTGCCATATGATATGCACTTTGGAAACCATTTTCAGCTTTTAAAAACAGAAAAAGAGAGAGTAGAGAGAACTATGCAGTAAGCATACTGTTACGTGTCAGGAGACCGTTCTTCTAGCGCACAAGGTTCTGTCTGATTCGTCTCTTCCTCCTCCTCTACTACCTCCTCCCCCACTTGTTCATCAAGTGGAATTTCTGTGGACTCTGAGTCCTGGGTGCAAAGAGTCTTGGAGTCACTGCAGCTGGTATCTTCTTCCACTTGACTTCCACTGTCCTTCTCTGTGTCTGATTCACCATCTTCTTCCAGTGTTAGTTCAAACTGGAATTTTTCAGTTTGTCCTTGTCTACCCTCCTCTTGGTCATCCGGTGCAGGAGATGGACTCTGAGGGATTGTGCTCTGGTACCATTCACGATTGTCCTCCAATGTATCTAAGATGTCTTGGGCATCTGGGTGGACAAGGTCTGCCCAGGTCTCCCAGAGAGGGTGAACAATGTAGTCTATAAAACCCACCTGTTATAATGTATAATTAAGGGGAGATGTTATTCCAAAGGATGAAGGAACTAGGTTTATCACATTGTCTATTAAAATTAACTTCACAGGAAGCTATCTCTTTTTAGTTAGTGCTTTTCTATAATTTATTATTTTCCTTTTTAAATGTAAAGTTAACCCCAAACTAAACTTTTGTTACTTAACAGGCTTTAGTATTCCATCAACCATTGTGGGTAAAGAATAAGGGAGATGACCTTGAGGGAAATAGGCAAGAACCATGATACAAGCAAAGAAATCTGAAACATTCCTTAAGTCCTGGGAAATAAGATAGTATTTGGAAGAGACTCAGGCAGACTCTTCCCTGATTCACTGAGATATAAAAGGGAGGGGAGGTAAAGCACAATCAGGCTTGCGAGATTCTGTTATTATAGCCTTTTCAATAAAATATAGTTCTAGTCTTCCTGGAGAGTCAGTTTCCTGATCTGGTTAGACTGAACGGCTGACATCAATCAACAGTTATTGCCTATTTCCCTCAAGAACTTACATGATTTTCTAAATTGTGTACATTGCTATTTTATCCTTCAATTACATGATTACCTGTGATTTTTCTACAGATGCATTGTGCTTATCACACATGGGGCTTATTTCCATGCCCCTCTCTCTTTCTCGATCTCCTTGACGAAAGAACTCTTCCATTATTCTATCTGTCCACTGGCGATATAACTGGAGTGGCTTTGTTGGATTGCTTAAATCTGCACAGTGTACCATATTTTGTAGAACCTAAATTAAACAGGAAAAAAATGTTGAGAAAACTTGTGGTGTTATTCCACTGGAAACAAAGCTCTTTTTCCATTTGCACATTTGGTGGGTGAGAAAACAGAATCTTGAAAATACATGGAGTGCAAGGTTTATTCTGAACAGCAGCAGGACGATATGCTGTGTGTTTTTCACACTGACATTAATAGCTACCAATTATCTCACATCTATAGCTTTTGCCTATATTAAAAGGCCAAAAATGTTGTAAGTGCAAGACTAACCAGTTATAAAGATATGTGGGAATTAATCAAGCCTGTTAGCCACCCTGAAGAGTGGAAAAAAAATCAGACCCTGACATAATATAATAGTCTAAATTAGGGGTGTGTAAAATGCACTGGGCTGCAGGCAGCATAAGCATTTGAATGAAATTTTGAAAGCCAAACTGCAGAAGTGGGTATTGCTGCATATCAAAATGTTAAAAGTGACTAAAGAATGAAAATTAATTTTAAAATATTGATACATTTAACATACATGTACGTTTAAAGTAATTCCCATCCCTTCTCTGCTCAGTGGAATCTTCTGGGTTAAGAAGAATTTCAGCAAAACAAACAAACAAGCAAACAAAGCAAAGAGACCAAAACTTCAAACACACCCACTTGTGCATATGCCTAACAGTCTCCTATTCAGAGAAGGAGTCAGGATAAGGCAAAGAGTGATGACAGTGGCGGCATGTGGGCAACAAAATAGAGTGGGGACATCATGAGTTACATCTAACCTCTTGATAGCACATATGTAGGCTCTGGCTGCAAATTTTGCATTTCTGCTCCACTGCTAGTAGGCAGGGGTGTGCATGTGGTCTGTACTGCTTCACTGGGTAACAGTGATTTCTGCACAGCTGCAAAAGCTGCGGTTAGCAGAACAAACTGATTAGTCGAGGTGAATCAAAATCACTACATGAAGATTCAAGGAGGAGTGAAGGGCCTCTGTAAGGTGAGGCACCTCATCAAGCCATAACTGGGAGAACGTTTTTGCAAAAGGTACAACAATCGGTCGAAAAAGTCAAAACATGCAGGTCGTCTGAATGTCATGATGAGAAGAAAGAAGATAATTTGTTTAAAATGCAGAGTAGCTTACCTGAATCCTGTCTGAATAGTTATCAAGAAGTAGAACTCCAGAGCTAGTCACTTTCTTGGTTTCAACCATTGTTTTCAAATCAGCCAACAGATTCATATGCTTAGACATGTCTGTGGCAAGCACCTTGGAGGAGAAAAGAAACATAAAGATCACAATAATTGCTTCCATCTTAAAGCTATTATAGCTTGGTGAGGAAATTAAAGTGACAGCCAATGACAATATCCAAATCAATATATAGATCTTATGGAGACATCAATTGCACAAGCTTTCATGAGTCAGAACAATCAATCTCTGAATGCATTATGGAAGATTGAAACCAGGTATATTTCAAACTATTCCCCCAGAAAAAATGATTTGCTGCATCATTTTGCATTTGAACTGCAAGAAGAGCAGAATAATGAAAGTAAATTCATCATGAAATGGGTTTTTAAAAACTGAATATATTAAAAAAATCATAAATAAATAATGAATAAACAATGGCAACTCACAATGTCAATGACCATCTTCCTCAATGATTGCCTCTGCTTTTTTGTCAAGTTCTGGAAAATGTCACAATTCTCCTCCTGCAATAATTTGAACCCTACAGCTAGGTGATGGTTTTCCAGGACTGATGAATCATTGTACATCAAGGCAAGTTCAGAGTCTGCAAGAAAGTTCCAAGACAGTACTGTTAATAAAATTTGCATTTTTTTCCCTTTGCTACAAGTTGTACTACTAGGTCTTCACATTATTAAGGCATCCAAAACATTCAACAACAATAGCAAAAACACCACTAGGGCTAATTGCAAACCAAATCCAACAACAGGTTTTCCTTCAACTCCTGCTCTCTCTGCTCAGTTTTCCAGAAATGGTTTGCAAATTCCAAGGGCAGCAAAAATAACAGCAAATTAAGGCTGATCATGAACAAATGTTTCAGCAAAACCTCCTCCTCTATGGCAAAAATGCTCAATAGTTCTGTAATCAAATAATGGAATTTTCCCAAACACTCAGAGGCATGCCTATCAATGTCAGATGGAACGGAGACCTCTTTCATCCCTCTCTCTGCTTCTGTCTGATGTATTTGTCTAGCTATACAACAAGGCCCAGAGAATCTCCAAGTACTGCACTGTATGTGACTCTTTGTAATTATATGCCAGTAGTTTCTTGACATGAATGTAGCTGAATATTAATGTTCTGCTAAATTGTGTATGTTCATTTTTACGTTCTTCCAACTGACAGACCCAGACTGAATACTTAAGACAGAGACCTATTTCTGTACGTGTTGAATATGTCCTATTCTTACATCAGCTTGTATCCAAAGGCACTTTTTGTAGCTTATCACTATTGACTGCTACCAAGAACTACCAAAAAAAAAAAAAAGTTCCAAACATCATATCCATAGAAGAGGAGAAACATGCATTTATTTCAGACTATATGAGCAAGAAACAAAGAACATTTCTTGGGCACCATCTTGAAAAACTCACAGAAAGAAACACAAATGAAGCACCTTGCATCTACCAAAGTTTGCTTAATGAAGTGTTCACCACATTTTGGAAGACAAGTTAAATTCTATTCTCTTAATGTTTCCAGATGAAACACTCTTTGTGTTTTGATTATTATAATTTCTTTTATTATAGTTTTCACATGCTGAAGCTGGCAGTATTTCAGTCTGCTATAACACCATTTTATTTATGGTTTTTTTTTAAATTTACCATAACACTCAACAAGGCTGCATGTAAAAGCTCTCAGGTTACTTTCTTACAGGCTCACTCTCGTGTACTGAATAAAAAAGACTCTTTCTAGGCTTTTTTCCCCCCTCTCAAAGGTAAAAGTCCCGGTCTGCCAATAAAATCCTGTAGTCTGAGAATCACATCTGATAAATTTAATCATCAAGATAATGCTAATCAGATCTACCATTTAGAAAAGTAAGCTATACTGAAAGACTAATTCATAAAATCCTTAAGCTTCCTGAAATTTGCAGTTCTACACTTATTTTAAAACAGGGAAGTTAGGGAGCTTTAAGAAAAACTGCTTAATAATTAAGTATCAATTATTTTCTAATATTAATTATAACAATTATTCGGTTGTTATTAGAAGAGCACATGTAAGGATTTTTATAAATTAAATATAGAATAATTTCATATCTAAGTTGGTTGCTTTATAATCAGCAGTTCTGTTCTTCGATTCCCATGAGCCAATCAAAAAAAAAAAAAGGTACAGAATGGCCAATTACATGGAAGTACTGGAGTTAGAAATTAACATTTCTGGATGACAATATGTTGCCTACAAAAGTTGTGTGATAGCTAACTCCTTATTTCTTCACACATGCAAATCAGGAGACTGGGAAATCAACAAATCTCATTTCCAGCTGTCCCTCTGGACAAACACCTTATTCAGTAAACTTACTGAAACTTCACCATCCCCATAAAATCCAAATAACAACTGTTCTGCTTGATGGCTGGGGGAATGAGATCCATTATCCGAAGGCTGCCTAATCCTAGACCCATTTTTGGCCAGTTTCACGTTGGATGCACTGATACCAGGAACAGCTGTCAGTTAAACATCTTAACCTGGGAGGTTCTACTTCCCCTGTGACTTTTTCTCTCACAAAACCTATTTATAGACCCAGAGGCTGGTTGCTGAAAAGGAAAGGAGTAGAATACTGTTGGAAGAGTTGCAGATGAAAGAAGAGGGAAAACCTTCCCCCTGCATTATTGTTACACGCAATAAGGAGTTAATAGTTTCTCACTATAGGCAAACATGTTTGCCTTAACACTGCCTTAAGGAAACCATCTTCATAAACACCTGTACTAAAGCTTTACAA